CCGACAATGGATGAAGAGCTCTCCAATCTGCTCAGCCACTGCAATGTTGTTCACCACCACGGTCAGCTTGGCATTGTCCACAGGACACTTCTCTGGGGAGGATGATGTGCTGAGCCCACCACCTGCCCAGCCACCTCTCCCCCTGGCAGCTCTGCCCAGTAAGAGGTCAAGTCTTGGGGAAAGGAGGTGCAGTGGCAGACAGGCAACGGAAGCCCACTGGGTGCCCAAGCTGCCTGTGCAGAAAAAGCTGCACAGTAGACCTCCCAGATGAGCAGGCAGTGACAGAGGTCTCTTGGCTGGCCCAGTAGTTTTGGGCAGGGTCAAGGGGTAGTGGACAGATGGTGTGAAACAGAAGCAGAGGCTGCCAGGGACAACAGCATCTGTTGGAGCCCAAGCCCTCACCCTGGAACCCATTCCATGTCCACCACAGCAAGAGCTCTGAGGCTGGGGACATCAGCAATCAGGCTTTGTATTGAGGTCCTTTGCCAGCCAGGCTGGAGCCCTAGCATCACTATTCCAGCCCTGGGACAGGCCACACATGCCTAGATGGGAAACCAGTGGCCTCTGCTGGCAGCCGGGGCAAATAACAGAACAGGGACCACCCACCACCCACTCCCCTTCCCAGGTCTGAATGGGAGGCACAGACCTACCTGACTTCAAGGCGCATCGTCTACAGAACGTGTGCTGTGGGGACAAAAAGTGGACTTAGGGGACAGTTGTAGTTGTCTTCCCTCTAAGTCAAGGTCCGTGGCAGCCCAGAGTTCACACCATTCCCCACCACTTCAAAGAGCTCCTGCCTGACAGCCAGCCTGGGACTAGGAGCAAGGCCAGCAGCACACTGGCCTGAGCGCCGAAGGGAGTACCTGGGGTTGGGGAGTAAGAGGGTCTGTGATCTTACCCCGCAGGTAGTGATCACAGGGTCCTTGAACACATTGCAGCAGAGCTGGCAACACAGTTTTACCGAGGGCTGCTCAGCAAATACCAGCGGTTCCTAGACAGAGCGGAGGAGCAAAAGCCAGATGATCAGGAGGTGGGCCTGGAGTGCTGAGGTGAGGGCTTGGGGATTAAACCCTCAGCAATATTAACTACCCAAGCCACCAGCATGTCCACCCTGTCCAGGGCTGGGCCAATCCTGTCGAATCTAGAGCATCGTGAGAGGACCAAGGAATCAAAGCAAGGGGTGTGGCTCAGAGGTAGGCTGTAAGCAGTGACCAACCACACGTACAGCACCTGCACACGGAGTCTCAGCCAGCCTTACTGGCCCCTCTCCCTGGCAAACAGACTAGAAAAGTGCCCGATCCGAGCCCCACCTTCCCACCTCTCATCCCCAGGCAGCCTTCAGATAGAAGAGGGAGACAAGCCCTCAGAGTTCCAACATGGACCAGAGTCCCTAACTAGCTCTGACCTGCCCTCGCTGTGCTATGTTGTATGGCCTGAGGGGACAGTCAGTACCCATTCCACGGTAGCAGTGACAATCTTGGAAGACGGTTCCTGTCAAACCTACCACACCTACCGGCTCCTCCTCCTCCTCAGGCAGCGAAAATGTGGAGCGCAGGGACATGCTGGACTCGGAGTGTAGAGAGCGGACAGAGATGGCTGAGTCAGAGCGGCGCGGAGTGTTGATAGGAGGCTGCACAGATGGAAGCAGCCTATCAGGGGGCTGAGCCCTGTGGAGGCAGGGGTGCCCCTAAGCCACCCCACAAGGCTGTGAATTGTGTGGGGGAGGTTGGTGTGGCCTCAGTCCCTGCTGCCTATGGTAGCCGACCCTGGCCTTTGGTGCTGGGCTGCCCGTTCTCGCCTGCCAATTTTCTTTGTGTAAATGGAGAGATTTCCTGCTATTCAATTCTACAGGACATGCTTAGGCTTCTTCCTGCTTCCCGTGAGGGAATGTGGGCTGCAGAGAGGCTACATCCACCAGCCAATCCTGGGGCAGTTAAGACCCCGGATTACTGAATAGAAAAGAGCAGAAGCCTGGTCAAGGAGAGGTGGCCATGGTCTGAGCTGCCTTCTTGGTCAGGAGATATTTAACCCAGCCAAAGAGGTTCATTGTAATGGCAGGAATGTTCTACCTAAGGCTGACCTAGTCTCTTAAGACCTGAGGGAAGCAACCTTTGATGAGGTCCTAGGGGGAGAGGGGACAGCATTCAAGGGCCACTGCCGCCACAGCTCTTCCCTGCAGGCTAACAGACACCTGCAGCCTCATTTGTGAGCAATAACCTGTCTTGGACCAATGTCCTGGTCTACTTGCCACTTTTTTGAGCCTGTGTCTGGAGCAGGAGACAGACTAGACATGTATTTCATCTCCTTTAACTAGGATGTTCCAAAGTGACACCTTGCATGGGAATGCCATGTGAGGCCTAGAGGGCAAAGGAAGTGAGTCAAATATCCCCAGCAGTGGCCAGCAGAGGAGCAAGGAGCGCCAGACAGGAGCTAGCACAGAGCTGCACGCTCTCCGCTGCCTACTGGTCAGAGCAGCTCTGAGGGAACTGAAGTCAGGTTAGTGGGACAGACAGGTGGGCACAGCTGCCCATCGTCCCACAGCAAACAAGAGTCCAGTGCATAAGTAAAATATGTAACCTGTCAGATGCCCCAGAGTATCCAACCCAGAGGCACAATGAAGCCCTTCCACGGTTCAGGCTGCAGTAAGAGGAGCTGGGTGGAGACTGAAGAGGTGAAGCTGTGGGGAGCGGGGTAAATATATCTGACTCATATAAGGCTCAGTGCAGTGCCGGACCCACAGGGCACATGCCTTTAATCTCAATACTAATGAGACAGAGAGGCAGATCTTTAAGTTGAAGAACATCCTGGTCCACATAGTTCTAGACAGCAAGGGTTATGTAGACAGACCCTGTCTCAAAAAACAATAATAAAAACAAACAAACAAAAAAAAAACCCTACCATGCTGGGTGGTGGTAGTGCATGCCTTTAATCCCAACATCCAGAGAGGCAGAGGCAGATAAATCTCTGTGAGTTTGAAACCAGCCTAATCTACAAAGTGAGTGAGTCCCAAGACAGCCAGGATTGTTAGACAGAGAAACCCTGACTCAAAGCAAACAAACACCCCCCCAAAAAACAAACAAACAAAAAAACCTACCAAAAATAAAAGCAAAAAGAGGAAAAGGTGCCTCCCCCTCTGCCTGGCCTGCCCTCCAGGCAAGAACTCCAATTCTGCCAGCTGTCCTCTGTCACACTGGCAGACTCACCTGAGAAAACCTTTCGTGGCTCCCACCTTCCTTAAGATGGTACCAAAACTGACCGTGGCCTTCAGGGGTCATGCCCTAACGCCCAGTCCCACAAACTGGCTACTCACTGCCTACATCCAGTTTCAGGAATGTGACAGGTATTTCACTGTTCCCACTCTCTGCTCCTCCTAAGACCTGGTCCAGGCTTCTGCATCCTAAGGACCTACCATGCTGTCCTCTTCATCCCGTGGCGAATAGGCAAGGGTGCTAGAGGAGGACGGTGTCCTGCGATGCTGTTTGTATGTGCTGGTCCCATCAGCCG